ACGTCCACGTCGTTGTTTCTGGGTAACGCCAAAAGTAAGAAGAATATCTCACTCCAATGAGCGTGCAAGAAAGCGATTTTCACCTTGTGTGGTGGATTTCACACAAGCGATGAAAATCGCAAAGACGTGTCTTTACTCACGTTAATTTTCTGCTTTTTCAGATCCCACGTCAAAAATAGGGATTCCTATTTCAAATAATCACCTCGACCTTCAAATGATCTTCATAGTTAACTTAAAGGTCAAGAAGGTCATAGCGTATCACACTTACTTTTTAAAGTTCCTCCAACGCTTGTCAATCCTAAAAAACCATAATCACTCAGAAAAACAGCTCTACAGCCATTTTTAGACATTTGAACTTTATTGGACCTTTGAAGGTCATATAAAAAATTTTCAAAATATCATTTTGAACGTAAAATTTCCTGTTCTTTCCAAATCCGGGGTCAAAAATAGGGGTTCCCATTGAAAAAAAGACCTTGACCTTCAAATGACCTTGAAAGGTCATCTCAAGGTCAAGGTCATTAGCACAGGTTTGTGAACCCTTCTGTCCTGAATATTTTTTATCGCAACTATTTTCCCGTAGAACGGGTAGTTTAGGAGATATTCAGAATTATAGATTAAAATGGGTCATCCTGTATATACAATTTATATTTAGATAATTTATATTTAGACAAATCTGGTATTACCAGATACCAACTTATTTCTGTTTTTGTTTTTAAATTTTATTAAAAGAATTATTTTTATTTATCATTGTAATAATTAGGTTATAAAGTGAAATTGCCCATATAAAAATATAATAAAAATAAAAATAAATATGAATGTATTATATATTTTAATATGAATATACCCAGATAGCCAAACCTGCGCAAACAGATTTCGAGCAGAGCTTGCTATCAACTTTTGATGGCAAATAGATAACAAATTTGATACAGGATCTGTTATATCAAATCTTGCTGCAAAATTGCCACCAAATATGCGGCAGAGCTTGTTGTCGGATAATTGCTGCAGATTTGCAGGAGCTTGTAGCGATTTAACGGCAGATTGACGGCAAAAATCTTGCTGCGCTGCAAGCTTTGCGCGGTTTTTGTTGCAAATTTGGCACCAATTGCCCGACAGCAAGATCTGTCGCCAAAACCGTAGCCTAATGTAGACACAGATGGCTATGGTTTTGCTGTGGGTTTTTTATCAAATTTGCTGCCAATCTGCGAGCAGTCTGCATTCAATTTGCTTATTGTAAAGAAGGGTATTGTAAAGAAATTATATATATACACACCAACACACACACAAAGTGTATATATGCATATATATGTATGTATGTATATATATGTACGAGGGTGGTCTGAAAAGTTTCCGACCTCAACGTGAAGATAGCAGCACTTGTAAATAAAAGCTAGTGAATTTCGTTGTTCATCTGTTGACAGTTACTCACCGAAGTTTCAGCCATTTTGGACTCGCAGTTGTTATGTAACAGTCGTTTGAGTAAGTTGATGTGAGTGTTTTTGTGAAAATGGACAAAATCGAGTATCGAGCTGTCATTAAATATTTGTTTTTGAAAGGCAATACGCCTACGCAAATCAAAGATGAGTTGGATTCTGTGTATGGGGACTCTGCACCATCATTTACGACAGTGAAATTTTGGGCCGCTGAATTTAAACGTGGCCGTAAGAG